TGTATGAGGCAAAATTTGTGTTCACCTAGGTATGGTTTCGAAGCAATTCCGAAGCATTGGGTCTCATTTCCATAGTAATAGAATTCGACGGCGTTGGGTAATTTATTCAGGAGAAAAACAATCTTGCCTACCAATCCTGAGGAATAGGCTTTTGTAATCCAGTCATTTTACAAATTATCATAATTACTAATTGTAATTGCTGTGAAAACATGTAGCACTGAGTGGTTGTAAAGCTATATATGTGCATATATCGTTTATTCATCTTTTTTCATTTTGTTCCACGATGAGGTTGCTTTTACATCTGCATGAAAACATCTGAGACGATTTGATGTATGAGGTGTCATGTCTGTAAGTGATGTAATGACAAATGGGCTCTGAACACCCGATAATGAAATGCGAACCGAACCTCAACTAATTCAATTAGAGACCTAGAACTGGTCTGGAAATTGTAAAACTTAAAAACGTGGTTTCATCTGGGCAAACTATGTACCCCTACTTCTCAAGATCCAAGGTAAAAATGTAAATCGCACTTTTTGAAGTCAACCAAGTCTTCCGTCCATCCTCAGTCAGTCATATGATGCCCAGTTTTTCCCGGGGTGGTGAGGCAGTTCAAGTCCAGACCTAAAATCTCGCAAAGCGTTGTATGAGCACAGTACGAACTCATCTACCGCTACGGTTCGGAGCGTCCGTTAAAGGGGTGGTCCGTTTGGTGGAAACGTACGGATCAACCTACACTCATTCATGAATCATACTAATTGTACAATTATCCGTCATTGAAATGGACACTACTGTTTCCAATTTTCTGACGATTAAGTTTTGATTGGTCAATTTCCCCTCAGTACCAGTTTTTACTTGGAATTACCTCCAGCTCCATTCGATAGCTCCCTTCATGTTAGGATAATTGGAAACCAGGCATAGAACAGATTTTTCTGTTCACAAAAGCTCAAAAATTGATGTAACACTTAATAGGTTGCGGATTTTTGTTTCCAAAAATTTCCGCCAGTCGCTTCCGCAGTCCCTCGGGAACTTTTTAGTGGGGTACTTCATCATTGTCGCCCTGCTTGCTGCAGTCACGAACTTTAGTGCAAAAAGCCAAGAGTTTAGGGAAGTAGAACTAAGCTCCAAATATACAAATAATTTTGTTACAGGGTCGATGAGTACAAGCTGGAGAAGGTCTACCGTCCTGTTGAGTACACGGAATATGAAACCTGTTTGGATGTCTCTAAAGGTTTCAGATGCCCTGTTGTTAAGTGAGTTTCGCTTATGCTCAGCATATTTACGTACCAGATTTTAATTTTTTTTCTAACTGTGATCAAAGACATAATGAGATCTTTGGGATTTGCTTTGCTGATGAGGTCATCTATCCTCTAAATTTGTGGTGGAAACGCTGTGAGAATGTGAAGTCGCAACAGAGACTGAGGCTTAGTCGGGTTTCAAACCATTTCTTTCTAAGCAAACGCCTGGACTAAGACTGATGGTTTCTTCAAGCTTTAGGTTTGCTCACTTTAGTTGGCAGTGCTGATTCAGTTGAGCAAACAAATGAGTTACCGGAAATCACCATGTATTATATTTTGTCAGAGTATTCATTATGAGTATTTATTATGAACCAAATATGGTATGAACTTACCCCAATATACAGTCACCTTGATCAACCTTCAATCTTTTCTCTAGAAAGATCTCAGTTTTAGCGGCATATAAGGTTTTGACCTGCTGTGATGGTAGGAGGCTTCCCTATTATCCGCCTCATCCTTGATAATCAATTCATCCCTTAACCAACCAACCAACCAACCAAACTTAGCATAAGCAGCTGAAACAGTTTGTTATCCACTTGGTTCTCACAACTCATTATTCTGGCTAAAAATGCAAATGTTCTATGTACCTTTATGATTTTGAATGTTTGTCGACAACGTGGCGCATCCTGGAAGATCTTGCCCCGCGCCTGCATGTCTTTAAATTACCAGTGAAAACTATGGAAAATTTTCAGTCATCTCTTATATATATATTGATATATATTATATATGTGAATAACCGTAAGAAAAACCTTACCGGTATTCAATCGTTATTTGGGCAAGGGGCCCAGTCTCCAATTTTTTCTTGCCCCATCTTTCCAAACAAATCGAATTTTTGGTGTGCATCATTGGGAGATGATTCACAACGTTGCCCCAAACGAGCAGCACATGAATCTAGTTCTGTATTGCAGGAAAGGAGGACGATTTGGGTATGAAAACAAACTGGTCAAAGTCGAAAAGTATGTGAAAGCATGTTGCGAGGGATACTATCAGACTAAGGACAATGTTTGTAAACGTAAGTAGACATTTATTTTTCTCTTTTCATTTTTAGACCTGAAATCTGTTTGATAATTCCAAAATTCCTGTTCTATTTTCTCTGTCTATTTATTTATCTTTTATACTCCATAGCATAACGATGGGTTACTGGAATTTTTTTTAAATAATTTTTTCTTCAATAATTTTTCATTCATCATTCATTTCTTGTGCCGGAGCGGTGTTCTGCAGTAGCGCACTACTCCAGCTTAGTCCGGGGCTTAAATACCGAGTTGATGCTTTCTCATGCCGATAGAGCCTTCTATTCCTCCGGGGTCGGTTAATCGGCATCAGATCAGTCTGAGAGGATAGAAGCCCGAACACTTTAAAAACGCTCCTACAATTCTGCATGGAAGTCAGATACCGGGCCCATCCCACGCAAATTTAGTCAAAGCCAAAAGATTCTATTCTCCATACTCCATTCACATGGGGCTCCATTATAGGCCTTTTTAGGGATATCCACTGACGAAGCGTCAGAATTTCAGGCTCCCACATTCCTCATCAATCAACAAATTGATGCAGTGTTGTTTAACATTTGAACAAATAAACAAAATACTTTTTATGTACCACTGAGCTGGATTTTGTCGTATGGCAAGGGATCGGCGAAGTGTAAAGAATGCGAAAAATTTCAGCTGAATGTGAGCCACCATGTAAAAAAGGTCGTTGCGTCGCGCCGAATGTCTGCGAATGTGATTCGGGCTATGGAGGGAAACATTGCACTTCAAGTACGTCATTTTATTTCTTTTTATAGCGCTCCGCTACCGTTCAATATCACCAAGTATTCGCCTTTTTTCTGAGTACTATTCAATAAACACTCAAAATATTTCACTCCTTCAGTCTATATTTGCTACTGTAGGTAACTGTCCTCATTTTTCCCTCAACTCGGTTTCTATCTCTCTTTCTTTCTCTGAAGTAGCTGCGCTCTCACTTTTAAAAACTAGGTTTTCCTTTATTTTTTGTTCTTTAATTGTAGTTTTTCGGTTTCTGACAAACCTCTTGACTTTTCTCGCATTTAACTCCACATCACACATTACACATTTTTATGTCCGACTTTCTTCTATTATACTTGAACCGGCCTTATTGTGTGCGAGGTTCGGGGATCGGTACCCACCCAAACAGTAGAAGGGCAGTAGGAACGGTTCTGTATAATCGATCCGCCGCACGAGGCTGTCGCGGACCATTTGCTTTATTATAACAGTTCTAACGCTCTTCATACAGCTTAATTGCTATGCGATTATTACTTTCGGCATGATTCTACTGTTAGTTCTTTTGTTCCTGTATTTCCTACTTGCTGCTGCATCCTGCTTCATTTCTACGCACGCGACTTATCTCTCGCCGCAACGCGACAATTTCGTTCCTACTGCACCACACCCCATTCATACTACCCAAGCGTTCTACCTCTCCGGGGTCAATTAATTACACCAACTCGTCTGAGAGGATAAAAGCATAGACTTGTTCAACTTCCTCTAACCATATCCTTGTATAGGCTACATACACATTTCAAAACGCCACTAGGATTCTGAATGGAAGGCGAATGCAGAGGCACATTCCTAGACGGGTTTGATTATCCCCAAGCATTTTTATCCTTCACTTTTCAAGGTGGTGGATTTGAACTCTTTATTTACGATGATCCCATCCTCTTATGTTGAACTCCGACTTTTGTTTACATTACTTTACTTCGCCATCAGATGATTACATGGTTGTTGCAGTACTGCTTTTAATTCAGCTTGCTCGGTCGGACTGTGGGGACCTTCATGTCAAAGAAAATGCGAGTGTGACAACGGGGCGAACTGTGATCCAGAAACGGGTGCTTGTATCTGTGAAGCAGGTCATTATCCCACCTTCAATTACTAGTTAGATGATTTCAACTCATTTAAATTCAGGATTCATGGGTGTCAAATGCGAACAGGAGTGTCCACCTGATCGGTATGGTCCAAACTGTACGGAGAAGTGTCTATGTCAGAATGGTGGACGGTAAGATGTTTCTGCAAATTCTTTTTTATGGTATTTTTTTGGCAATTTTCCCTGGTCCAGAAAATTCACCTTGGAGAAAGAATTTATAACCGAGCTGGTTTTT